GGCCAACGTATACAGGGTGTATCAAATGTCGCGCACTTTCTCTCGGCGTAGCGGACGCTAAAGGCCAAACTTAATAGAATGTCGATTGCTTCAATGTCGAGACGTCTATTAGCATGCGCGGAGGACAAGGTGTTTAAAGCGCAGCGAAGTATCACCGAAATTTTTGTTTCAAGAAGGAAATTATTTAGACGAAAATTTAGAGGATTACGTAGTGATGAGAGACTTCACTGGGTGTGGTTATGATCGTTTACATTTTGATGCAGCAGCATTTTGACCAGATTGCAATGAAACCAACATTACATAAACAAAAATGTGCCAATAAAAAAATCAGTTACAAATACATCAATTTGTTTCCACGCTTGTGAAATCACCATCCATTACTCTTCGGAAAGCTTTTTGTGGTTTTAATGAATTATCTAAAATAGATCTCTCACCCTAGAGTGTTGAATCTTAGCTATTAAAAAAATACTATATACAATACAGTTGAGTATTTAAAATCTCGTGAGCAATGGGAAAGACAGAATTTTTATTACGTAAAAATATATAATGGCAAATATATATTTATCCGAGCTGAAAATGATTTGGGAGAAAATACGCTTTAAACGAAATTTTCAGGCCTAACAATCCGCGAGACGAAGACGCGATTTATCTTTCGATTGCCGTCGGCGACGATTCGACGGCGGCAGGCAGTATTGACCTCCTCGCGCAACAATTCGATAAGATGGAACACGGCGGCCGTATAACGTCGCTCGTTATAATGTTCGGAATTTGCCCGCGTGCGAACTAATATCGGCGAAAATCATCGTCCGAGGCCACCTTCCCTCTCCTCTCCCACCCAAACTCAAGTTTGCGACTCTCAAGTTTGCGTCGTACGCGATTGCGAGATACAACATGCGTCAAGAGCCGTGCTCGCCTTTTTTTATTTGCGACAAAACAATAAACTTAATTAGGTATCTCGGCGATTGAATTTCGTAGAGATAAGGCCACGTTGAAATCAACCGACAAGGTCCCGGCATTTCCAATCGCACTTTCTCCACTTTGTTTCATTTTTATCCCTTTTTTTCCCCCATTTCCCTCGAATAACAAACGTTTATTCCATTAGCTTCATTTTAAGCGCCAGAAAGTGTAAAAAGAAGGTACGACCGAACAGGACACGGGCGCAGTAAAAGGAACACGATAACGAAAACGTGATAACTGTTCACAAAAATTCTATTCCCTTCAGGTACTTAACATTTTTTCACGCTTAAAGTATTGTACTCAGAAGAAAGAGGGAGGAGAGGAGAGAAAGAGATAGAGAAAGACAAAAGAAACACGGAGAGAAAACGGTAAAATAACGGATAAAGATTACAGACTTGCAACTACCGCGATAAACTACACAAAAGAAAGACAAATCTCTTTCGAGACAAGAGGCAGAGCATGTCAAATACACGAAACCAAAGTCATTGATAATTTGTTTGTGCTGTATCGGTCACCCGGCGCGCGATTGTTTCTGACTCGCACCACTTTCACTTTCGATCCACCGAGTAATGAACCACAGGCCGAAATAACGAATGATTGATAACTCGGGTGGGTAACTGCATAATGAACGAATTCGCAAGGAACAATACGATCGAAATCAAATGTCGCAAAAGCGCGAGCGCGAGTCGTGCGACGACTCGTACGTGTGCTTGGCAGCGAGAACACGCCAGCGTTTAAATTAGTAACAGCGTGCAAGAAAATCATAAGCAATCCGGTCCATGTGAGTTATGGAAGATCGGCAGCCGAACGAGCGAGCGAAAAATTGCACATTTCTCGCAACGGACGACCGACAGAAAACCGTCACAGCTCCGCAACTTTTCGGCGCGTTTTCAGATACTAAAAATTAAAGTCTCAAATTGGCGTAAGTGATTAAGCCGCAATTCGAAATTTAAGAAACAGAAGAGAAATAATAATAATAATAATAAATGAACTTTCATCTGGATTGTTCTAATACGCAGCTGATATTCTTGAAAATTAAGATTAAAATTTGACATTTGCAGAAACGGACAATTCCGTTCGGTTTACATGATTTAATGAGAGAAATTCACGATACAAGAAAATCACAGAACGAAACTTCGCCTTTTGACCTTGTAGACCTTGATCGAATCGCGCAATTTGATCTTTCAACGAGCAAACTTTTCGGAGGTGTGACGCTTTTCTGATTATCACTTCTACGTATCACATCACTCGCGTTGTTGAACAAATATTGTTAAATGCATATTACACTTCTCGCACGATCGGAGCCATCGTAGGATTGCACGAACAATTTAAGTCCATCAACTTCAGATCGGGATGCGTACAAGATTCAAAGCTATAAGCGCGGCTAATGTCAAGGTTCGATATTGGTATTACGAAAGAATTATGATGAATTTCTAACACGAGGAATTAAAGAGACGTTTAACACGGACCTTAATTAATGCGAATCCACATATCGGCGCAAACATGTAAAGTTAAGATCCGTTGTATCCTTCCGGGAATTTTGCACACATTTTGTCATTTACTTCGAACGATTGGAAGGCAGTGTCATGCGAAAGTGAGTCACTCGTCGAAAAAAAAAAATGTCTCAAGTGAATTAGACAATTGTTGCCGCAAGGCTGTAATGCCGGTAATTACGCCATATGTAGGTATGTAAAAGTCGGCTTTTTACACACTCTTGTGATTCAATTTTCAGCACGTTTTTTAACATCTTTGCATAGACACTGTTTAATCGTGCATTGTCTACAACAGATTTAGTCTCTCTCCCCGGATGGATACAAGCGAATTTTTTCACACACTCCGGTGAGACGCGTGCCGTCGCTTCGACGACGGCGGAGCGTCGCTTCCGGCGCATCAATTTCCGTGCCTCGGTTCCAGATTTCCACGAATCCAGGAGAGAAGCGAGTCAGAGGCAGCGACAGTTTTACCAGCTTTACTATCACGTTTCCTCGAAAGAGAGAAACGCGTCTCTTTCTCTCTTTGTAAAACGGACATTTTCCCCTATCGCGCGGGAGACACAGTACCGCTCTTTCATTGTCAGTCAAGAAAGACCCCGAACGAGGTTGACTCTCCGCTGGTTCGGTCCTCGTCTCGCCTCGCCTCCCCGCTGGATCCGTGCATCGGGGGCACCATAAAACGCATGATATACGTACGTAGCGAACGTCGCCGCGTCGGTCGGTCGGCCGCTTGGTTGCTTGCTTGCCTCTCGGCCTCCTCTCCACGCTATCTTCAAGTTCACACGCGGAGCGGCCGCCACGCCGAGATATCTCCTATTAATAGGCCCGTTATTTTCGGGGCTCTCGAAACACCGCGTCTTGTAGTAACTTCGGGGGGCGCGAGAGCGCCTTGCCACTGTCAGGACCTCGGAGACTTTTCCCGGGCACAAAAATGCTACGGGGGGACCCCGTAAAATCGGGCCACCGCGTCGGTCACACGCGGTACTTCACTGAGAAACACAGAGAGCGGCGACGGGATGATGAGGATGATGACGGTGATGATGATGACGATGATAACTCCACCGACAACGGGGCGAGGACACGTAGCGACGACGAGCGGACGAGCGACGGGCACACAACGACGACGATGGGGTTCGGTGCAAGAGCGTGGGGACCGAACACGGGGGTAAAGGGGCACCGGCACCGGCTTGCTCGACGATGCATCACGTCGGAGGAACGGGACGGGCGTGATAGCGCGCACTCCGTCGGTAATCGCGACACCTTTGCGCGCATCAGCGGCATTCTAATAAACACACAGCGTGCAGTGTGTTTTTTTCCCCGAGGCACCGTTCGGCATTCGGAAATCGACGAGAGAAACGAGCGAGCGAGCGAGCGGGCGAGCGAAGGAACGAACCGAACAGACGGGCGAACGGGCGAAGGAAGAAAACGAAGGATCACGTACGATAAGGATTAGAATATGAACACGCGACGTGCACGGTGCACATGAACGTGTGGTCTAGGCAAACGCGGTCACATACTGCGGCGCGACGCGACGCGAGGCGACGCGACGCGAAGCGGCGCATAGCGTCGCGGCGTTCTCCAAAGTCCGCGACGACGTTAGGAAAACGCGTTATTTCACTGTACAACACACTGCACGGCGGCACTGTATAGCGGTAATATGCTTTTGGCAGTTTTGTACTTTCGGACGCAGGTGCGGCCGGAGGCAACACACGGTTTCACGTTGTCGTCATCGTCATCGTCGTCGTCGTAACGAGAGACCGCTCCTCTTTTTCTTCCTTTCCTCTTAATCCTTATCCCGCTTTATCCTGAACGGAGAATAAGCAGGATACATAGAAAGCGGGAAAGAGAGAGAGAGAGAGAGAATGCGAATGGGAATGAGAGAGAGAAGAGAGAGCGGACTGGGTGGAGGACAAGAACAGCAAGCGAGAGCGAGAGAGAGAGAGAGAGAGAGAGAGAGAGAGAGAGAGAGAAGTATTCGTGGCGTGTAGTTCACATTGCTGTGTATGTGTACGTATGTGTGGGTGCGTGGATATGCGTGAGAAAGAAAATGAGAGATTACGCACACTCGCGTGATTGCCTAAAAGAGAGAGAAAACAGATATCAGCGAGAGAGATAGAATACGCGCGCGAAAAAGAGAGAAACAGAGAGAAAGCCAATGGTTGAACGAGAGAGAGAGAGAGAGAGACGGACAAATGCAAGGACAAAGAGAAACGAAGAAGAAGCGATAGATTTGACAAAAGGAGCACAAGCAAGTCGGGACGAACGTTTCAGAGCAGCTCCTCTTTTCGAGATGCTCCAGCTTAATATCAACGAATGGAGAAGCTGTTGCGAGACGAGACAAGGGCTCCGGCACTTGTCGCGACGCGGCACGTTCGCGAGAGGACGTTACCGACGGCGAGGACGGGCACACGACGATGACGATGACGACGACAAGGATGACGACGGCGATAATGACGAGGCTGACGACGACGACGGCGACGGCGGCAACGAGAACGAATATCCCTCGTCGTTTTATAGCCGCGCACACATTAATCTTCCCGAGTGGCTTACCCGCGCGGCGAGCTATTCCCTCGGGATAACGTATTCCCCGACGGAGGGCCGTTCGCCAGCAGCACCAGTGTTAGCGAGCAGCAGCAGCAACCACCACGACGACGACGGCGACGACGACGGCTGCGGCTGCGGCTGCGACGGCGGTGGCGGCGGCGGCGGCGACAGCAACAACGGGCCACCGCGATTAAAAAACACTCGCGTTCTCGCGCACTCGCGACGACCCGACGACACGATGTCTCGCTGCTGCGGCACGAAAATCGGCGCGGCCGGTCCACACGGCGTTTTCAGGGCCGCCAGGTTAACGTCACGAAATCCACCGCACACAACCATAGATCCAAACGGCGGACGGACGGACGTAAGGACGGACGGGCAGGCTGGCAGGCAAGCAAGGCGGAATCACGGGTGAGGCGGCGGGCGCGGGGAAGGCGGAGGACGTTCGGGGCGGGCAGCGGCCGCGGGGTGAGGGTAACGGGCCGCCGCCAGCGGACGGCGCGGGGGGCGGCCGGACGAGAGCGGCGCGGCGCGGCGCAGCGGCCGCGAGGGGAACGCGCGGCGCGGCAGCTGAGGGGGAGAGGGACCGACCGACCGACCGACCGAGAACGACCGAGCTCACGGAGCGAACGAACGAGCGAGCGAGTGAGCGAGCGAACGAACGACGAACGAACGACGTAGAGCAGCGTCGCACTCTCGCGCGCGCGGCGCGGTCGGAGTCGGAGGGGGGAGGCAGGCGGCAGCGCGGGGAGGGGACTGCGTTAGCTCAGGCTCGTCGCGCGCGGATGGCGCCGCGAGGGCCCACCATCCTCCCTGTCACTCATTTTCACCCAAGTCAAGGCTCGCACCCATAACTCGTCGTTATTATCGCAAGCGAGTCTTCACCCCGGAATTGATCTCGTGTAACGTCTTCGTTTTGTGGTACGAATCGAATCGTACGTACGCATGACGCATAAACCGTAATTCCTCTGTATTACTCCGCGCTGTTTTGCCTCGGCGACGGCAGTGGCGGCCACGAAATGCGCGCGGCAAAGCGCTCCGCTACATCCTGAAAGATTCCCCGACTTAAAGCGGATGGATCGAAATGACGGCGCGCGCGGCGAGAGGCCGCGGAGAACGATGCCGTGCGTTTGGCTTAAAACTTGTTACGGGATGCGCTTGTACTACGTTCGAGGAATCGATATGTCGGGGAAAAAGACAAGACTCCTGGCTCTCGTCCGTCTCGACTTTGACGATCTCCAAGATTTTCGCGAACGTGCAGGAACTGTGCGCTATCTGTCAAAATTTTGTCGACGGCGCACCCGTCCTTTGACTTGTACTTTCACTCGGGCTTCCATTTTCTGTTATTTTCGGTCCGCCGAACGCGCTCGTTCTCCTCGCATGTAACAAAACGCACAAAGGGACCGCTCTCTCACGTTTCGGAGAGACTCGAATCTTGATTTCCACGTCGTACACGCACGTGAAAGACAAAGAAAAAGGGAGATGGATTCGTTCGTTTTATTCAATTTTCATACATACGGCTGTTGTCCATGTACGGCAACGGTGACGCGTTATGCGCTCAAAAGGAGGAATCATTGGTTGGCGATATATCGCGAATTTTATCGGTCGCCAGACACGTCTAACAATCGCGAAACAGACGATCCGCGCGCGAATAATGCGCGAGAAAGCGACATGTTCGTTTGCAAACGAGACTCTTATACTCCATCTCCTCTGCTTCTCTTTCACAGCGCGTTTGCCTACTGACAAAATTAAAATGTACACGATCGTAAAGCAACTTTTACAAGTAATTGTTCTTTTACGATTCGTCCCATATTTATATATTCGTACATAGAATATAATCGATGTTACTAAACCTTTAATAGAGCCATCCACTCCTAAGGTATACAAAAACCTTTCAACGGCTTAAATTTTATCAGTCCAGATGGCTATTAGATAAATTGTACCGTACGTTACTTCAACACTCGTATACGAGGTATTTGCCTTTGGGGACCGGACGCACTTGAATTTCGACGGGAGGGAGGGAGGGAGGGAGGGAGTAGGAGGGAATTATGCAACACGATATTCCGACGTAAATCAAATGGAATTCGCTAGATTCGGGGGAAGAACGGACGAGGGGGTAGAGCGATAGGCGCAGCTCAAATGAATTTTCGCGTCCGAGCGGGGACGCAGGAGCGTAGAATCGCCGCGTACGGCACTGACATCGAGAGCCAAGCAAGCAGGCAGACAAGCAAGCAGGCTGGCTGCCTCGCGGGCAGGCGGAGGCGCATGGCGCGGCGCGGAGCGGAGCGGAGCGGCGGCGAACGCTTCGGCGCTGCGGTGGGGATGCCTGCCGCCGCGCCGTGGCGGGGGAGGGAGATGTACGGTTGATCCGGGCCGCCGCCGCGGAGGGAAGAAAGTCCGAGCGAGACCGAGCGAGCGCGCGCGCGGAAGCGGGACGGCGCGACGCGACGCGACGCGTCGCTCCGCTCCGCGCCGTGCCGCGCTGAACAGGCTGAGCTCGTGGCAACATGGCGCGTCGGTCGTCCGTGCGCGCGACGTGGCAATGCCGCAGCGAGACCCTCACGGACGCCAGGCGATCCTACCAACACTCACGGGTGTACGGAGAACGGCAGACCGGAGAAGGAAAGAATCCCGTTTTGCCGTGCTGGAGGAGATGAAAAGAGACGGGGGGGAAGGCGGAGGGGAGGGGCAGAACGAGCGTGCGCGCGACAGAGAAAGACCGACGAACGATTGGCAACGGCGAGGGTGGAGGGGGAAGGGCAGGGAGGACAAACGTGCGGAGCGAGCGAGAGAGAGAGAGGCAGAGAGAGGGTCGTGGAGATGAAGAGAGAACGAGCCACCGCGTTCGTAGCACAGGCTACGAAGTTTTCCGCCCGATCTCTTGAGATTTCAGGAAAGCGTTTGGTGCATTCGGAATACGTATACATGCGCGCGATTTTTATTTATCCAACGCGTTTCTCGCATCCTGGTACGCGGTCTCCGCGTCATGCCGTCATCGTCATCGTCGTCGTCTCGTTGCCCGACGAGACCGCTTTGTTTCAAGATTACAATAATTTCCTTCACAATATCGCGGACAAGTCGCGAGGGACATTTCCTGCCTCCGCGCGAGTGTTGCGTGAATCATTTTTACGCAACGCAATCGTCCTTTCCGCTTTGCAGCAAAAATGCTAAAAGTCACATTGGAAATCGAAACCAATGTTGTGTTTCAGAGAATACTTTTTTCACACAGAGGTACATACATAAAGCTAAGGGACATCTATATATCGTCGCGATTTCGTTCACGAAGCGAAAGTCCATTTCGGAGTTTGAACCTATACTGAAAGCCTAAGATCCCGACGAATCGCTATTAATACGTAACGACCGACGGCGTCGTTACACTGACGTACTCGCGCGCGGGTTCCACAGCCTTTTTACGACCACCGCGGCCGTCCGCGTACGTACCGAGCTCCGCGATCGGGACGATGAATAAGTTAAACAAAACGAGTTAGTAGGTCAACCGCCCCGGCCGCGTCCCGAAGTTTCACGCGATAGAGCGCGGATAAACACGCGGCTCTCGTTCGCGTCGCGAGCGAGCGTATATATACTTATAAGACGCTCGGTCGATCTCGAACGCGCGCGTCTCTATTCGCGGGGGGAAAAAAAAAAGAAGATTGTCGGATCGGCCGCCGTTCACGGAGCGAGAGAGATCCGATTTCCCCGGAGGAATCTGCGCGTAGGAGATTGATTCGTTTGCCTTGGCGCGCATTCTTGCACGCGGAACTCGCACGCGATAAGGGAAGCAACGTCGCGCGGATAACGCGCGCGTTAAAATGCGCGTGTCACCTACGACACAACGCCGTTGCGTTCGTTTGCGCGCAAGAGACGGCGGCGGCGGCTCCGACAGCTCCGAAGCGACAGTGGGGCGGCGAGGGAAGGAGGGAAAGAGGAGCGAGAGGGACGAGGCAGGATCGGCGGCGAGAGAGCTTCGCATAAACACGCGCCTCCGTTACACTCCCTATATAGATATTTGGAAAGGGAATTTTGAACTCGTCGGTTATCGATTAAACGCGGCGACCGCGCGGCCGCGTACTTTAATGCCCGGCGCGCCGCCCGGCGCGAATGCTTCAATGTCACGCACGGGGAATTATTCCCGCAGCGTAACCGTAACGACACTTCCGCGAAAAAAGGGGGTTCGAAGACACTTCGAAACTGGGAGACATTCCTCGAAAAATTACATGCCGAGGGGGGAGGGGGGGGGCAGGGGGAGGAGGAAGGAAAAAACACGCAATGATATCCCCGTGTGGATCTTCGATCATTCTTAACGTCATTTTTCGACGCTATATCGACGCGCGACGTCGCGCGTGCAGCACACTCGTATATATTTTACACTCTGGCTGAAATAAACCGAAATGGTTTTGTCTGGTTTTCTATTATTTATGTGGGCAAGCTATAACAATTGACATATATTATATAGCATATATAGCTTTCGCCGTGGAGTAACAATGCGCTCGCGTATAAATGTATTGCATATACACGTATATACTTATGTTACAATCGATTGAAATAAGCTGCATTAGCAACAGATGAATTTACTTTGTATGTACGTATAACATTCGATTATATTGAAGCCGTATGATATTATTAAGATGCGCACGTATACTCTCTCTCTCTCTCTCTCTCTCTCTCTCTCTCTTTCTCTCTCTCTCGACAGGAAAAATTCAGCTTTATTTCGCTTAAATAAATCGCATGAAAATCTTGAAAAGAAAGAGGAGAGGTACCGCGGGGGCCCACGAATAAACGCGGCCGACGTTTTCCCATGTTTTATTTCGAAACGTTAACGTCGTTCGCGCGAGGCGCAGGGTCCTGTCGGATTCCGTCGCCCCGAAGAATCGCAGGACTTTCCCAGAAGCGGGCACAATGCGCGATAACTATTGCGGTGTAGAAGTGAGAGCGCCTCGTGCTCCAACATTGTGCCGTCCAGATCGGACTGACAAGGCGAAAATCGGAAATCGTTCGCCGCGCGGCGGACGGAACGAGCGTATATATATTTTCGCTCGTATAATGTATGCACGCGAGAGGCATAAGAGCGACGACGAGGCCGTTCGTTATCAATTATATCGCGCGCGATAATTCGAGCGGAGGTAACGCGGGAACGTGTTTTGCGAATGATTCTCTCGCTGTCGGCCCGACGCGCGAACGTCCACGACGAATTTCTGCAACCTTCTCGAAATGCCCTCGAATTCGCGTTAATTGTCGTAAACCGTCGTGAGCTCGAGATCCTGCATTAATTTTCGTACGTAACTATAGCGACGCTCTTACAATTAGACGACCGTCGAAACTCGATTTCCGAGGGGCGACGCCAGA